TGTTGCAAAACAGAATGGAGCATAGAAATATTCACTACTAGCCTTCTGCATTCCCATACCAAGTCCCTAAATCCTTCCTACTATTTTACTCAAAAGCTGCTCTTTTAAAACTGAGGAACTTTGAGTTTCTTGCCGAAAGACATAAATTGAATTGAAAGGTTCTTATCTTCCATTCAGCTTCTTGCACTTCCAAGAAAAATATGCAGACCTAACCTTTCCACTCATTTTAAATTCTGACATACATGTACACCTTGTGTATACACACACACACACACACACACACACACACACACACACACACTCACACTCACACTCACACACATATTTGGTACTTTATTGTTGACCAAATACCTGGGCTCCAGAGAGATGGAGATCATAGAAAGCAGGAAAGATGAATCGTTCAACACTATTAATAGGCAGGTAGAACTCATTTTCAGCGGAAACACAGAAAGGAAAATTACTGGTGAGAGAAGAGGTCTTGACCCATGTGTTGATTAATGCAAATCTTTGAAAACTGCCAGCAGCATATACACTCGCATTCATCAGTAGTTGTGGAACGAAGAAGGCAGGGCACAGCAGACAGGGGCACGCAGAAGGCGCTCGGTGTTTGCTGAACACAGCACAGGAAAACACACTATATAAATACTGCAAATAAATAACTGCACAGATCCATACATCAATGTGACTCACTGTTGTAGACGATTTACCAGTGACAAAATGGCTTCAGTTCTTTTATGGCGTAGCAGTTTATGGTGCATATTAGAAGAGTAGTAAATATGGATACAATGGAGACAATATCAAAGTTATGAATGCTCTGGATCAGCTAATGACAGGCTCACACACGTAAAGAAACAGTAAGCTGTGCATGAGTCCAATGCTAATGGACTACCCAGTTTAAACGCGTCATCTGTAATTTTAAACATTTAAGCAGACAATCTACATTAATTAATAAAGGAGATACCATATTAATTAGTGTTACCATATGATTTAATAAAGAGAATGTCATAGACGTTTGCAACCTCCCAGAACCGCTAAGAATCTGGTCCAAGTTTTCTTCACCTGCTGGTCATTGGCTGAATTGTGTGCATCTGGGTAAGTGGAAAATGTTATAGCTCAGGGTAGATAATCATGTGTCTAATGACTTTCCTGTTAATTGGATTAACTTCACAGAACAGATATAGAGACCCACTCTGGCCAGGTGATATGGTAATATGCTCCTTTCTGAGGGCAGTACCTCTCACACAGTATTACTACATGATTTTGCCAGCCCATTTACTGGTAACCTAAGACCGTGCAAAAGTGAATAATGCATCCCCAAATGTCTGTATTATAGCAAGATATATAATACTCAGCAAGTTTCTAGTAGAGAGGGCACTGCCTGAAAATCAAGTTGACTTAGCTGCATTTTCAAATTCAACTCCAATTAAACATGTCAATCAGGGTAAGTCACTTTCCTAACTTGCCCTATAATTTCCATTAAAAAAAAATTGAAACAGCTGGTTCATAGAATTAGGAAGGTAAAATGAGATTATTTAATATTTATATATTTATATGTTTATATATGTTTATATTATATACTAATACATAAACATATTCTACCTGACAAAATTACTGTATGATTACATTTTATTGTATTACAGTTTTAGTACATTTTCAATTTTAGTATTTTTTTAGTCAGTGGAATTTTAAACAAAGCTAGAAGAATTAGTGTTGCATTAAATAATGCTAGAAGACTTATTCTGCATTAAAACATATGATTTGTATAAAAATATTAGTTTTTACAAGTGATGCTTTTCCTTAATATTACAAAGTATAAATTCTTACATTATTTTACTGTAGTGACAAAGCTCTTATATGACTAATATAAATAAACCTTTGATTGCATCATAAGAAAACATTAGGTAACATCTTAGTTACCAACTTTTTTAATGAAATTTTCTATTTGTCATAAGGCTGGCTCCTGCTCCTCCATCAGGCTTATTTGCCCACACTATAGATAGCATGGTGCCCTCCTGGCCTCCATCTTGGCCCTTGTGGGGACTGCCAGAGCATTTGCTATCACTGGCAGTTTATTTGTTTGATTTTTGTATCGCCCACTAAGATGCAAGCTGAGTATGGCAGGAGCCATGTTTGTCTTGCTCATGACTGAATCACCATTGACTAAGAAGTGCTTGGCATAAGGAAGGTACTTAGTATTGTTGGATGAATGAATGAGCAAAGTGCTGACTCTGATTTCTCGAAGGCTTCTAACGTGATCCAAACCCTCTCTCTGCCTCACCTCCACCGCGGGTTCCTTTTTCCAGTTAATTCGAAACTGGTTGTTCTGAACATCCCAGACTTTACACAACTCCGTGCTTCCTCTCATTTTCACTTCCTGAGATGTCTTTCTTTTGTTACCTGTTTAAGAAATTCTTCTGTGGGCTCAAAACTTGGCTTAATTGTCACCTCATCTTAAAAGCATGCATAGGATGTCCCTTTTCTCAAGATCACCATTCTAGCATGTACCCCGTGTGATGTGGAGCTGTTATATACCCACTACCCTAAGACTGTAAGCACCCGACATCAGAAGTGCCATGGCCAGCCGGGCTTGGTGACTCAGGCTGTAATCCCGAGCTTTGGGAGGCTGAAGTGAGTGGATTGCCTGAGCCCGCAGGTTCGAGACTCGCCTGGGCAACTTGGCGAGACCTCATCTCTACAATAAATCAAAAAATCAGCTGGGTGTGGTAGCACGTGCCTGTAATTCTGGCTACTTGGAAGGCTGAGGCAGAAGGATCCCAGCAGGTCGAGGCTGCAGTGACCAGGCACGGCCACTGCACTCCAGTCTGGGTGACAGAGTGAGACTCCAACTCAAAAAATTAAAAAAAAAAAAAGTGCCATGGCCTAAGTATCTGTGTCTCCCCAAAGCCCATCTGCTGAAATTCTAATTTCCAAGGCAATAGAATTAGGAGGTGGAGCTTTGAGAGGTCATGGGATCATAGGGTGGAGCCCTCCTCAGTAGATTAGGGACTTGATGAGTAGGACCCTGCCCTCACCCCTTCTACCATGCAAGGTACCATCTCTGAGCCAGAAAGCGGGTCCTTGCTGGACAACAAATCTGTTGGTGCCTTGATCTTGGACTTCATAGCCTCCAAAACTGGAGAAATACATTTTTTTTTCTGTTTATGCGCTACACCGTTTATGGCATTTTGTTACAGCAGCGTTCATCATTTGAGTTCATGTCCTCTGCCCTGAGTCTTGTGCTTGGTTTACGGCAAATATTTGATAAGCATTTGTTGAATAAATGAATGGCTGGGAACAAAAGGAGGAAGGCAGATGGTATATTACACATAACCAAAGCACCTAGAAACACATCTAACAACTATGTTACCTGGACCAAGTCACCTAGACTCCTCAAGACCTGTGTCCTCACTTGTTATATGGGAAGAAACAGCAGTCCTTGCCTTTGATCCTTGTAACTTTAAATGAGATCATACATGTTGTCTTAGCATTCTCCAGAGAAACATAGCCAATAGGTTTTACTTATTTTTTAAAAATTAATTATTTTAAGAATGGATGCACACAACTGTGGATGCTTGGTGAGTTCAAAATTTGATAGGGAAGGCAGGCAGGCTGGGGACTCAAGAGAGAATCACCATTAAGTCCAAAGGTAGTCAGATGTAGAGCAGAGAGGAACCAGTGTTATGGATGAAGTCTGAAAGGCAGTTTCATGGAAAATTCCCTCTTGCTCAAAGGAGGATAGCCTTTGTTCTAATCAGACCTTCTACTGATTGGATACGGCCCACCAATACTGCAGAGGGCAATTTTCTTTACAGAATCCACCAATTTAAAAACATCCTCTCAGAAGCATTCAGAATACTGTTTGATCAAATACCTGGGTACTGAAGCCCAGCCAAGTTGACACAGACAATTAACTATCATATATATAGAACACTTGGGATAGCTTCCTAGGCATTAGTTAGGAAGTGCTCACTAACCAGACTCACTCGTCCAGCCCTGTGTCCCCCCTCATACCCAGAGGTAAGGAGCCGTGAGAACGAGTGTGTTGGGGTCACTGGCCTGCAGTGTACTCCTGGATGGAATAAAGTGACTTTCATTTTTCCTCTGTGTCTCTCTGCAGCCATACAGTGAGTGGTGTTTTCTACAAACATGGATTAAAAAAAACCCAAAAAGCATCTTGGCATAAAGGAGAAAGTGAACATAACAGGAAGAAATGTGTATAAGGAACAAATTGGTGTAAAACCACGATGGCCATGGCCTCCTGCAAGGCCTTGGTTACATGCAGTTCCCCAAAGTAGATCAAGAAAACAGCTATGGTATTTTGTCCCTTCTTCCTCAGAAAAGGATGCAGAGGTCATGCTTCTTTCTTTAATCTCTGTTGAGGGAATTTCTACTCGGCAGTCAGTATCTGAAAGAGGACTCAGGTTTGCACGCATGGAGGTCTTTCATAGCATTCCCAGAGGACTGCGCAACTCCCAGAGAAAGAGGCTCTCATCAAATCCAGGAGAAGGATAAAGCATTCTGAGGGCACCCATGGAGCCCAGCAAGTGTCTTTTCTAGATAACCTGGACTCTTTTCTACATGTTGCCAACTCCAAAAGCTAAAATCTCCCACCATGACAAGAGTACAAAGGGAGCCAGTTTATATGAATCCTTAGCATCACACAACTATTTGGGGACTGACATTAAGTGACATGCATGTGTCCTGCGGGGAGCTGTCATCTTCATGGTAGGCAGGTGGTCACTTCCCATGCATCCCCACCCAGAGGCCATTGCAAGGAACCTGGCCTGTTCTCAGTAAGACGTAATTCAGTAGGTAGACCCGGGTGTGAAGGACAGGACAGGACACACTGGAATAGCCACACCTCTGTCATCCTCACTGAATTTGCATGATTCATACTCTCAGATGGAATTCTCTGCAGAGCTCAACCCCAACTGCTCTCCCTCAGAATCTACAAGGTGGACGGGAGATTGCACCTGTAACAGAGGCAGCAGAAGACCACATTTAAAATGTCTCATACAATTTTATTTGATGATATTCAATCATATAAATTTTTTGGTAAATATGCATTTTCAAAAGTGCATAATTAAACTTGATTTTTCTAGACCATACATTTGTCATAGAAATATGCCACAGATTGTTACTTTGTGATATGCTAATAAATTCCTATTAAAATATGTTGTGAAGGAAAGATAAGACCATTTATATGATGTTCCTTACTGATTATGAAAATAGAGGAATACAAAAATATGATTTAGCAATAACAGAAAATATATATTTGTTTTTATTCCATTACTTTGAAAATTAAACATAAACACTAAAATGGAGAGTATTCAAAAAGATTTTGCACACTTAATATCTATCTTGCCACTACTATATTTTTCATTGTGGAATAATGAAGCACATGACTCAGCGCTGAATAATTTGGGCTTTGTTCAAACGTTAATTGCTATAATCATGAAGGTTACTATTAAAAGCAGACAGAGGAGATCTGTGCACAGCAAAAGAGTGGCATTAACCAGAGCTCTTTCCTCTCATCTTATTTTGTTAGGAGCATGGTTTAAAAATTTAAAGAAGAATGTCTGGCTTGTCCGTTGGTGAGGCACTTGGACACCCATCTCAGGCATGAGTGGTGGACGGTATTTAGTCAATAGTCTCACTTGCAGGACCCAGCACCATAGAGAAACTGGTTCCCCGAAGAACTTAATAAAGTTCCATGAACCCGATTTTAGGCTTTCTTTTCCTGTCATAGAAATAATTATTTGCCTTTCTTCATTTGTTCCTTCTGGAGTTAATTACATTTTCTTAGAAACAGCATTGAAATTAAAGGTAATTTTTAATTATGAAATGCTTCCTTGGAAACATTTTCTTGCATGTTAAAGTGTACTTTGTTCCGAAATACTTAATTTCTCTTACAATTAGAAATCAAAGATGGAGCACAGCATAGGGCAATTTGGAAATTGTCACACTAATTGCCACGAAAAAGTTAATTTTTCACAATAGACAACTGCTGGTGAACATCCAATTAACTGCTACACAGTTATTTAACAGCTATTCTCAGAAAAAGAATGATTCCATTTTACAACCGCTAGTTGAAAGGTCATTGGCGTTAGACATTTTTTAAAATGTAAAAGTCTATTTAAAGTTATATATTTTTACTTAGAAATGCATTTTGGAGATTATATATTTGTCTTAATTTGGAAAGAGCTGAACACAGGATCACAATTTCGAAAGATCAGCATATGCAGGTGACTTGGAAGTCCTAGTCACTGTTTCCCAAATCGCCTTAACATACTGGATTCACAGCTAAGGGCAAGCCTCTCTTTGGCACATAAGGGGTTGTCCTGGAAACCATCTTGATGCAGTCGATGATAGGGCAGACGCTGAGACACAGGGTACAGCCTGTGCATGTGTCGGTGATGGTGGGCAGGTGAGTTTCTGGATCAAACTGTATCGCCTGCAAACAGAAACAAAGAGCCTTGATGTCGCCACCCACAAAGGTCAAGAATGCCCCGTTTGAGCACCCGAGTTTTCCCCAATGCAGAGAAGTTGTGCTTGGAGACAGCTGTATCCAGCCCAGGATGCAGCTATAGCAACAGTTGAGCCGACAGAGGAGAGAAAAGTCAGAGAGTGAGATCCTTTTAAATTAGAAACACAATGTTTAACATTCCACGAAGGGGCCAAATTAGCGAATGCAGAACCAGGACACCTGGTGTCCAGTGCTGCCCCTGACACAACTCAGCCCTGAAGACTGTGACCAGGCCTTGGCTCTGAACCGGTCAGGGTTTTGGGAAATGTATAATCCTTCCTCCCTCCCTCCCTCCCTCCCTTCCTTCCTTTCCCTTCCTCCCTTCCTCCTTCCATTTTTGTTTTTAACATGACGCAATCTAGGATAAGCATGAAATTTAGGATTGGGATTTTTTTTTAAGATGTAAGGATTATTTGCCTATTAAAGAGAAGTATTTTGACGGTGGAAACCACATGGAAGACTTCCGTGGAAGCTTCCGGTTTCCATGCAGGAGGGACCTCAGGAGTTGTGGGGGTGGGGACCTAGGGCACTCGCCTAGGGTCTCCTTTGCAGCACAAGTACGAAGCTGTTACCCAGGTTGTGTACTGACTTGAAGTACCTAGGCAGAGCTGAGGAAGCTATGAGGGAAACTGCTGTCCCCTTCATCCCCTCCAAGTTACTCCAGGACACCATTCTTCAAATCTTACATTTGCAATGAATTTTGTGATTCTGACTTTCTCCTGTCTCATATCTGTGATATAATCCAATTTAAATATATATATTTTTCTCTTTTATGCACCTAAAAATGAAAATGGTCTTTTTATTTTTATTTTTATTTTTATTTATTTATTTATTTTTGAGTTGGAGTCTCACTCTGTCACCCAGACTGGAGTGCAGTGGCCGCTCCCGGCCACTGCAGCCTCGACCTGCTGGGCTCCGGCGATTCTTCCGCCTCAGCCTTCCAAATAGCTGGAACTACAGGCTACCTCGCCTGGCTAATTTTTGATTTATTGTAGAGACAAGGTCTCGCCAAGTTGCCCGGGCGGGTCTCGAACCCGCGGGTTCAGGCAATCCACTCACCTAAACCTCCCAAAGCACGGGATTACAGGCTGAGCCACTGAGCCCAGCTGAAGATGGTCTTTTTAGAATAAATCATGACATTCGTTTCATATTTTTAAACAATCTGATCTTTTTAAATAATCATATTATATTTCAATAAGAACCACACCTATGGAAAACCATGAGAAAATTTGTCCATACAAGTTGTGCTATGTTTTATAAAACAATCTTTTAGACTGCTGTTTGGATGAGTAAAGACGCTTTCTCAACTGGGTGTGGTGGCTCATGCCTGTAATCCCAGCACTTTGGGAGGCCAAGGCAGGAGGAATGCTTGAGCCCAGGAGTTCAAGACCAGCCAAGGCAACATAGCAAGACTTTGTCTATACAAAAAGTTAAAAAATTAGCTAGGCATGGTGGTGTGTGCCTGTAATCCTAGCTACTGAGGAGGTTGAGGTGGGAGGATCACTTGTGCTCAGGAGTTTGAGACCAGACTTGGCAATATAGTGAGACTCTGTCTCTATTTATTCAAAACAAAAAACCTATATATATGTTATGCTTTCTCTTCCTTACGTACCTTTTCATATAAATAGAAAACCAGTGAAGTAACTGATAAAACAAACAATATTAATGTTTAGAAATCTCACACTTTAAAAATCTGTGAACATATAACACTCTATGTTCAATTATAATTTTTGATATTTTAAAATGAATAATTGTGATTTTTTTCTGTTTAATAAGAAGATTTTTACTAAAGTTGCACCAAAGCTAGAATTTCAAATTGGGGGCCATTATTCTTAAGACTGAGGTTAGTAGTACTCTGATGCTATGATAGTTATAGGACTTCTTGACTTATCCCTGATTGGTTTTTAGAAAGGTGAAATGAAAACGAATGTGCTAGGATTGGCATTTAAAAAATAACTACTGGGAACACCTCTGAGTCAGGGAAAAAGTGATAGAGTGGCTAAAAATTTGGTGTATAACTAATGCCAAATTTAGGAAAAATATTTTTTTATTAAAATGTATCTGTCATAAAAATATGCCTTATCTCACCATAAGTGATATAACACCTACCCCAGGTTGGATCAGGTGAGTAAACTTCTTTTTTTAAAGATGGGGCATTTTTTTTGTTAATTTAAAACATTCCATTGATTTTTTTTTTTTTCATAGAAAGTTGGATTTATTGAGAGGACAAAACGTTTCCCACAGTCGGAGGGGACCTGAAGGGGTTGCCCCATTGATCATTTCTTTAAAGGATCTTATGCTACTTTAATATACTTCTTTATAGCTTGAAACATGTAAAAGTTTACTACTTTCCAACAAATCTTAAAATTTGCTTTCTCTAAACTCCATATCTTAAAAACATTCTTTTACTTTCATAATAAATAGAGCCTTTGAGAAAAAAGTTATGCTTAAAAGTATTCTTATGATCATTTTTTAAATTCATTTCTAAAACACTAGTTCAAGGTCATAGTAGTGTCAAACTCTATTAAAAACAGATTCTAAACATATTGGAGGTCAATGAAGACGCACATTAAAAGTCAAGGAGAAGATCGTGCAGTCCGTTTTCAAGAGTGTAGCCCAGCTTGCAGGAGCCTGGCTGGTCCTCGTTTTGTCCCTGAACTCTACTGAGGGAGCAGCTGGGGTGGAGCTGCCATTCACCTGAGTCCGGGTACCTCCCTGGGACCAGTCTTTACGACTGGTTGGTGGAGAAGTGCTTTTTCTTTCTAATTATTACGGAAGCCTGGTCGATACTGAACAGAAGGGAACTCTCTTTCAGCAGAATGAATCACACCCTTTCAGGGCCGTGGCAATACATAGCAGTTCTTTTCCCTTCTTTCTGTATGGAAGCATGACGCTTTCCCAGTGTGCATAATTTTGTGTGAATTTCTCTTTGCAGCTGGATTTCTCCCTCCAATTTTGTGAATGATGAAATGATATTAAAATAATACTGGGCATCAACTAGTGGTGTAGGTAGCATCAGTTACAACTTTCCTTTAAAAAAAGATGCTATTTCACAGGATAGAAAGTTATGCCACAACAGAGGAGCAATATTTGGAACAACTGGTTTGAATTCCATGCTTAGCAACAGAAGATGCTTTCTGCCACAAAAGCCAGAAGAAGCATGCCTTGCCACATTCTAATTCTAGCAGGGTTCTCACCTGGTAGCCAGAATCATTGCAGGTCATGTAGCATTTGCCACAGTTGATGCACATTTCTTCATCGATCATGGCCACAACATGTTCAATATTGCTGAGTTCACCGAATGTCCCGAGGTACTGCAGCGCTTTGCCTATTACATCCTGAAAGAGAGTACTGAGTTACTGATGGTAACATTCTCATGGAGTAACCGACATCTCCGTTTTTACATAATGTTACGCTACACTAACTTGGGAAGTGTTGGGTTGTTGTAGTTCTTATAGGCAAACTTTCCATGGTTATTATAGTTTAAATATTTATTGTCTGCAAAATGGGCAATATGTACACTGAACTTAGAAATACAAGACCAATGAACAGTATTCAATAGGGTTTCCACGGGATAATCAGAAACAGAAAAGAAATAATACCTTTCTCAGTTGCTGTGGCTTATTTTTCCTCAATTTTGGACTTTGAAGGATTCAAAAGCAACTTAAAGTGGAAAAGGGCAAGGCGCTTACGCTTAGAACACTTTAGGAATGAGAAAATTGCAAGAGTGAATGTGATGCGTTTATTTCACTGTGTTTGGATGTTAGATTTTCACTTAGAAAAGAGCTTTGATAGCACACTCACCTTGAAGAGTATATTATGTTATTAAAAAATTCTAATTTATGTTAATTAATTAGATTGATCCAATAGTTAAATCAGATGCTCTTTTACTTCTAAAGAACTAGCATTTTCTTCATTCACCATTGAAGATCTTTCATGTGGTTACACATTGCTTTGTTCTTCATACTAATTGGAAGTATGCTTAATATGTGAAGCACAGATGATGTTTCATCAACAATAAGAAACACTTTGCTTCATAAAACAAAACAGAAGAATATAACAATGTTTGTCAAATTAGTATGCTGTCAAGACTTTTGCTTTTGTTTTTAACTATTAAAATGAGAATCTTTTGTTTGAAGTCAAGGTCCATGTTCAGCGAAGTCTGACTCTTACTTAAAACGTCTTTCCATATTCTCTTTGGTATTTTGCTTTCTCTCTTCTTTTTATGACCTTAGTTACTGTTATTTACTTTCCCTCCATTTAAGCTCTAAGTGACAATACATTCATTTCCATGAGCTTTCAAACTGAGACAAAGTTAGCATTTTTTACATTTCATCTGTGAATCTCTCAAGCAGTGAGATGCTAGAAAAACTCTACTACTGTCTTCCCTTTTCTTTTTAATGCTTTGAAGTCATAATTTCAACTGTACTGTAGACCGTCTGTAGTTGGGCACTCGATGTCCAAATCAATATCTCCATTCTGAATTACTCTCACTAACCCAGGATCTCCATTTGCCATGACAGGATGAGCTCTGTCACTAGAAACTGGTACTGCACATTCACCATGCACTGAGCTCGTCATCAGCAACACAAAGCTGGTTCTTCCTTAGTTCTGGGATTTTTCCAACTACGGAGGCCTGGAATTTCACAGTTACGTTTCTCTCCAATTTCTTCTTGCTCCAATATCTTCCATCATCACCACGTCTTCTGAGTTCTGGATCTGCAATCTTTTGAATCCTTTTTCCTCATCAAAAACCATCTTTAAACATTATTAATGAATTTCTCACTATTTTTTAATGCAGTTGTAAGAGCCTCTTGATAAGTTTCATTCTCATGTTCTTCCCTTCCCTTGCTACCCTGGTACAATTTGCCAATCTAGGCTGTAAGGACAAGATTTCTCACTGCCGTATTAAAAAATCTGTTGAATTAAGCACAGGGCCACCAGGCTGGCATTTCAGGCTTTCTGCAAACATGTCTTTTCCCGTCTTATTTCTCACTTCCAAACCCCATGTTCTTCAGCTACACTGGAGAACACAATCTCCAATGAACCTGCCTGAGGTCTGATTCTAGGCTGAGTTCTCTCTTCCTGTCTCTACTTTGCAAATCCTGTGTGTCCTCCAGAAATATCTGAACTGCCATCCCTTCAGGAAGATTTTCTCCACCCTTTCTTCACCTTCCTGACCAAAGGTGAGGCTGTGACCGCCCTCTCTGCTCTTTCTCCTGTCTTCACCTTCCCCTCTTTACTCTCTCCCTGCCCTCTCCCTTCTCTATCTTTCTTTTGTAAAGTTGTTTGATGGCCTATGGCTTTGTATCTATTATGTGGAACTAATGACAGCAGATAAGCTTTGAGTCTTTACTGTATGCCAGTACCAGTGTCAAACATTTTCTCACTTAGAACTCATGCCTTTTACAGATGATGAGGTGACTGAGATTTAAGGTATAGAATTAAGTGAATGATGGAGCAGGGATTCAGGATGCTGTTGGCTGACTCCCAATGCCATCAGCACTCTGGAATGCTGACTCCTCCATCATCCCCCATTTAACAAATCCTCCTTTGTGCTAAGGATGCTTTCCACATTTGGCTTCTTAGGCTGTGCTCTCCGAGAAGGCATTATTCATCTGTGTATCTCATGTGGTGTGTCTTATTCCTGCAGCTCATGGAAACATAATGAGCACTGAAATATTTGTTGAAATAAATACATCTCTTGGGTATCGACATACTTAACATACAATATGGTAGTAGGCATATAATTGGATACTGTACTGAACACTTTTATTAATATGAGTATTTTAAGTATAAAATACTCATGGTCAAAGTATCTGTATGTGTTTACTATTTTCCAATAATATTTTAAGATACTAAATGCATGAGGTTACTATCTGGCTGTAAAAGGTTATTTATGAGTGACAGAAAATAATTTTTTTCCATCTATTAAATGTCAGCATAAAAAGTTGTTTCACTAAATCAGATCATGATGACTGAAGTCACTAGTAAATATTCAAAAGATGATTAAACAGGATATTCCCTAGACAGTCATCAAGCTTCTAAGGCTTCTTCAGAAGAAACTTCATATATGCCTAAGAAATTTGACTGTGAAAAGCAAGTCTACATTCTGTGTACATTAAATATGCCTTTTGCTCTGTATTGGAGATTTGCTGTTGTCATTTATTAAAACATCATTGTTTAATGTGAAATCAAATAAAACAAGGTCCTTGGAGCCTCTAAGAGTAATTAGCACATGGTGTTAAAAACTCACCCTTTAAATAATTAAAAAAACTAAGTTAAAAATTCATTATAGTTCTTTAAGAAAAGTGTGTTTTTTTTTTAATCTGGAAGAGTATGAAATAATGACAACTATTTTAAATCATTTTGGGAAAAATAAACAAAAAATGAATTATCATTCCATGTGACTGAAGATGTGAACATTTGTCTAAAACCCCAAGTTTCCAGGTAGTACCAGCAGTATATGAATACCCTGGAGTAGACATCCTGGAGTCTGGAGTTGCTGAAAGATGCAGCTAATCAGAATGGCACATATGGTTCATCAGTCCCTCTTGGATACACATCTGTGGAGACTGGGGAACTCACACTCTTTATTCCACACAGGGTGTGGATAGACAGAGGGCCAGCAATATGCTCTAGCTGTCCTTGGTCAGTGGAAATATTTATGTGTGGATGTGTGGGCAGAGAAGCAATGCTAATCCTTCAAATTACAGTGACATATTTGGTTTAACATAGGTGTTCATGGTCTTAATGTTGCAAAGTACGTCAGAATTCCAGAATCACATCTTTGTCAATTAATTACTTGTTTGGTATAATAAATTTTTTTTTTTTAAAAGACAGACCAGTCACTATTTGATAGACAGTTTTAGTTCAAATAGTGAGAAACCAGAGGGTTCTGCTTCTAGCCCTGGTGTTTCACACTTAATTTATTGTGACTCAGATGAGCGTATCAGCTTTGGCCTGTTTTTACAGCTGATGGAAGAATTTTTATGTTGCAGTCATCTGGCATGCTATCTGTTCTTCCTAGCTCCATGTCTCCACATTTGATTAGTATACATTACTGCTTTCATATCATCATAAAGTCAAAACGTCATGAGACAAGCCATCGTAAGTTGGAACTGAATGCGCTTCCTGCAATTCCTGTAAGTAAATGCCCTTTGAAGGCCAGAGCCATGGATAGTAAGTTGTGGGCAGTCACCAGGACTTCTAACCTTCAGAGCCAATATTTAAATTTTTTGGATGTAGCTGTCTAATCACTTAACTATTTGCTTTTCTGCACCATTACCACCATCACATCTTTGGGTGCCATGATCACTCCTTGCCTAGTAAACCTATCAAGATAAGAAATGAGATCATTTGGTTTGCTCTCACTGAATTTATGCTGATTTTTAATAACTTCTTCCTTTAATGTTCCCAAGTAAGAAGTTTAATGATCTTTGTAGAATTCCTTGGAGATTACAGCTCAATCTTTCTGGTCTATTTCCATCTTTTCCCCAACTTTATCCCTACTGCATTTTCCTTTTCCTTTTGTAAAGAACTTGTGGCAACATTTATTTTTCATCAGTGTGATACAGTGATCTCATACCAATGTACTTTCCAAATTGTAGCTTTGACTTTATTCTCGATATCTTATACAATACCCTCTGATCTAGAAGGCAGAGCAGGGACGGCACAGTTAAAAAAGGAAATATTGAGATGAAATTCAGTAGAACTCTGGCAACTGAGGGCGCAACTTGAATATGTTGAGACGGAAGGACAGAGACAAAGTATGGTCCAGAAGATGAAGTCGTAGACTAGCCAGAGAGGTTGGGAGCAGCGAGTCAGTCAAGAGACAGGAGAGAAGCAAGTGAGAACCTTGGGAACGAAATGGTGAGAGAGGGTGGGTGGAAGGGACAGTGTTAGGGAGACAGCAGGGTAAGGGTTGGCTGGACCAAGTTGGTGCCATGCAGACTGTGGCCCAGCTCGCTATTTTTTTCTATTTGGGGGTGGGCTCAGGCTTTAAAGTGGAAGTTTCATGTAAGACTCTTTAATTTAAATTCATTTAATTAAGCTAAGTGTGTTTTTACAATGTCTTTAACTATCTGAAGCTTTAACTTTCAAATGCATATGCTCTGTCCTTTCTAGTTCTAAGAACGTTCTCTGTGGGGATTCTAAAAAGATAACAGAAGCCCAGCAGATATTCTCTTCATTGTAATTTAACCTGCTCTAAGCAGTGGGCATATTTTCTCATTTTTACTTCTAATTGACAAAATGTATGTCTCTTTTTCCTATGTATTTTCCAAGTTCCAAATATTTGCAGATTCAGCCCTTCTGACCCATCCTTAATCTTGATGCC